GCCTTGCAGGGGTAGCTGGCGAGTGAAGGGGCTTGGGTCTGGCCGAGGGCGCGGGTTCCTCTCCTCCGATGCAGGAACAAACTGGGTCCGACGGTGGGCTCAGATCACTGCCGCGGGACCGCGCATTTCCCTCCCTCTGGGTATGGCTATGGCTCCTGCCTTCCAGAAGTGGCTCGGAGTGGCAGGCGCTCCGTCCGCCTGGTGCCTTTTATACTGCGCTCCCCCCGCCTCCCACCGGGTTTCCTCCTCCCCCTCGGCGCCGGAGCCCGCCCAGCCCTTTCCTCTCCGCTAGCAGAGCCCTCCGTCCTGGCTTCGCACACAAGCCTTTCGCAAGTTTCCAAGCCCATCTCGCACCCAGTGCCCCTGGGATGGGTCCTCCCGATTCTCCCTTGGTGACAGATATTAAATAAATAAACAAACCTTTCTCGCCGGCTTGACTTTCTCCCCCTCCGCCCGGATTCCGCCCTCCTGCTCCCTGGGCTCCAAACTAAGGAAATATTCTTAATTCAACGACTTTGATTGATTTTATGAACATCTTTATACGCAAGACACCTTAGCCAACTCTTACCCAGATTAAGACAAGACACACCTTCATCATTAGGAAAGCTCCACAGTCACGGTGGTATTTTGCAGAATTTAAATAGCAATGGTTAAGGTATGGAGTGCTGGTTGGGTTTATTTATGTCCAGGGGAGGAAGGACTGGTTGCCACTTTAAAGATGCCTTCATCATCTTTAAAATTCTAACCAGTTCTAGCATCTTATTAATAAGTTGGCAGCTGCTTATTAAGCACGAAATTTATTTTCCTTTTCAGTGTTTCTTATTTGTTTGTTTCTAGCATCTTATTAATAAGTTGGCAGCTGCTTATTGAGCACGAAATTTATTTTCCTTTTCAGTGTTTTTTATTTGTTTGTGTTTTTTGGTTTTTTTTTTTTTTTTTTTTTTTTTGTAGGAGGGAGGAGGGATATTTGGAGGCAGTGCTTGCTTTGGATTTTCAGGCAGCCAGTCCTGCGAGGCAACTTATTGAACTCTCCAGGCTCTAAAATGCCAATAATTGTCAACTAGAGTGCTGGGGGATAATTTGAAACTTTTTTTTTTTTTTTTTTTGTAGGAGGGAGGAGGGATATTTGGAGGCAGTGCTTGCTTTGGATTTTCAGGCAGCCAGTCCTGCGAGGCAACTTATTGAACTCTCCAGGCTCTAAAATGCCAATAATTGTCAACTAGAGCGCTGGGGGATAATTTGAAATAGACTGTCCGTGGTTCAGATGGGAGATCAAAGAGAGGATCCCAGCCGCTTTCAGATCCCTCCAGGATCCTCCAGTGTGTTTTTTAATTAGAATCACTTAGAGGGGGTGGGGCATGGATGGAATATATAAATTAAGATGGCAAACTAGGCAGAGTTAAGGCTGGCTCTAACCCCTGAGTGCCAGATTGTGAAGTGGCGCACAGGGACAAATGACTTTCCTATTGCCCGAGGCAGGCTGTTCTAAATTAGAATCCAGGCACTGCTGTGTCCTGCGTTTTCATCACACACAGTCCCCACATGTGAGCCTCAACTGCCTCTCCTCTCATCTCAAGTTAACATTTTTGGATCCTAAGGAAAAATAACTTAAAAAAAAAAAACTCTGGAAAGAAATCCTCCCAGTGTAAATTCTTGTAAATTTGTTGAGGGAGAGTGGGAGATCAAAGTCTTTGTAAGATGTTGTAAAAATTGTAAATTGATTTTTGGGGACAGAAGTCTTTATAAAATGTTGAACAAATGCATGAGTGACTGCTCTTAAAACCCTTTCACGCTGTGAGATCCAAATTCCAGGTGAGTTTATGTTTTAGTAAGCACCCATAACTAGTATCTGTAAATGCCCGTGCTCTGTGACTGAGCTGTCAAACGAGGCTGCCAGCAGGGCTCTGCTTTTGAGGAGATGGGGAGCACGGGCTTTCCATTTTTGGGGAAAAAGAATGACAAGTTTCAAAGCCTAAATAAATTAAGTTTTAAGTATTGTATGAAATGTTACCAATAGCTGATGAAAGTCCTAAAGATCCTACCTCCTTCAGCATTCCACCAGCACCGTCCTTATGTCTTTATTGTTGATCTTACTTCCTAGTAAGAAGTCTGATTGTATGTCCATGTTCCCACTGGACTGGGATCACCGTTCTGGTGGGACATTTCAGAGCATATCTCCCACCCACACCCCACCCTCCACTCCTCCAGTATCCAATTTTCTTCTTCCCAGGTTCACAGGTAAATAAACATTTTTGTCAGCAATACGTGAGGTGAGATGGTCAAGAATTCTGGTCCTTCTTCTACATCTGGCCATGAAACATCCCAAGTGACTATCTATATACAGCTTTCTCTTTCCTTTCTACATGGCGAAGGACTCTGAGGTAAAAGGAGCCCTATTCTCTGAGCTACGATTCAAAAGAGGATGACTGGACCAGAATGCCTTCATTTCCCTTGCATGGTGAGAAATAAAACTTTGTTGTTCAAGGCACTGTGATTTGGGGATGTTTGCTTTAGCAGCTAGTATCACCAGTCCTGACAAGTAGCACATTCTTCACGCAGGGACACCTGCCTTATCAGTAACATATTTCTAGACCTGAGCACAAGGCCTTCCATCTAGTAATTGCCCAATCAGTGTTTGTTTAATGAATGTAATGACTATGGTCTTTATTTAGACCCTACTTGGTGAAGGAATTCTCTTGAGAGTGTTTCTACTATAAGTGGCTGACCTATGGATATTAACTCTTCTGTCATTTGACTGTACTATTCCCTCATAGATTTTGTCTTTTATTATTGATCATTGGCCCCTTTATCTTGCAGACAAGCTATTTGACTGGAATATTTGGAGACAGTAAAAAAAAAAATAACACACCACAACACCTGTAGTAAATATCATTGAAGAGAACCTTATAGCAAGGATTTTATTGTTTTTACATTTTTTTACTAAAATCAGTTGCAGGGCAGCAAAGAGTAGGGTTAGTGCAATCTTTAAAATACAACTTTTTATTCTATGTATTATACTTTTAAATATATACAAAAGTAAAGAGAATAATGTAATGAATTATTACAGACCCATAACCCAGCTTCAACAAAACTCAAGGCCAATCTTATCTCATCTATATTATCATACACTTCCTCCCTCTGAGATTATTTTGAAGCAATTCCATGACATCATATAATTTCACTTGTATCTCAAAAAGGTAAGGGTGAACTTACCCCAGTTCAATGAAAACAAATTTAAACACATAAATATGTTTTTAAATTAAACACATGCCTACTGTATGTGAGCTGTAAAACAGATTGGAGA